TGACATTTTCACAATGTTCAATCTTCCTATTAATGAGCATAGGATGTTCTTCTATTTATGTAGATCTCTTATGGTTTCTTGAAGTAGTTTTTTATAGTTTTCTTTGTACAGGTCTTTTGTGTCCCTGGTAAGATTTATTCCCAAGTTTTTATTTTTTTGGTAGCTATTGTAAACGGTATTGATTTCCATATTTCTTTTTCAGCAATCTCTTTGCTGGTAAGACTACAGCTTTCAGTATGGATTACCTCTCAACATAAATAACACAAAAATCCTCACAACTGGACGAGCAACAAACATCACGATAAATGGAGGTAACATTGAAGTTGTCAGGGATTTCATTTGATCCACAATCAACATCCATGGAAGCAGCAGTCAAGAAATCAGATATTGTATTATTGGGCAAATCTGCTGCAAAAGACCTCTTTAAAGTGTTCAGAGATGTCACTTTGAAAACTAATGTGTGCCTGACCCACGCCGTGGTATTTTCAGTAGCCTCATGTGCATGTGAAAGCTGCACAATGAATAAGGAAGACTGCAGAAGGATTGATATATTTGAATTGGGGTGTTGGTGAAGAATAATGAAAATACCATGGACTGCCAGAAGAACAAACAACTGTGTCTTGGAAGAAGTATAGCTGGAATGCTCCTTAGAAGTGAGAGTAGCCAGACTTTATCTCATATACTTTGGCCATATTGTCAGAAGGGATCAGTCCCTAAAGAAGGACAGCATGCTTGGTAAAGCAGAGGGTCAGCGAAAAAAGGGAAGACCCTCAGTAAGATGGATCAGCCCAGTGGCTGTGACTATGGCTCCAGCACAGCAAGGATTGTTAGGACGGTACAGGACCGGAAGCATTTCATTCTCTTGAACATAGGGTAGCTATGAGTCACAGCTGAATCAACAGCACCTAACAGCAACAACAAACATCCATATTTTTTAAATGTAAAAGTAAGGCTTTCTTATTTACCTCTTGGTGTCGTGGTTAAAGCATTCAGCTGCTAACCAAAAGGTCTCCGTGGGAGAAAGATGTGGCCCTTGGCTTCCGTAAAGGTTACAGCCTTCGAAACCTTGGAGGACTGCTAACCAGAAGGCTGGCGGTTCAAGCCCACCAGGCACTTCTTGGAAGGAAGATGGGGCAATCTACTTCCATAGTGATACTGCATCGGCAACCCAAGGAGGGGTCGCTATGAGTCGGGTCCAACTAGACGGCACATAACAACAACATATGGTCACTATGAGGCAGAATCGACTCAGTGGCAGGGTTTGGTTTATTTACCACTTGAGTATGTAAGTCACGAATTATACATCATTCTTTTTACTCTGAACTCAACTCTCCATTCCACCTCTCCCACATAATGTATATTAACTCCTTTAAGTTTCATGGCAAAATTATGAGTAGTATATTACCCTAGTGCCTAAGGCACTTGACTGCTAACCAGAAGGCTGGCGGTTCAAACCCACCAGCCACTCCTCGGAAGGAAGGTTGGGCAATTTACTTCCATAGTGATACCGCCTCGGAAACCCAAGGAGGGGTCTCTATGAGTCGGGTCTGACTCGATGGCACATAACAACACATACTATTATTATTTCCATTTCAAGATTTAAAATACCAAGGTTCAGAGAGGTTAAATAACTTCTCCATTGGTCACTAGACTAATAAGTGGTTGATTCTGGATAGTCAGTAGATACATGGAAATTAAAAAAAAAAGTCTTATTTTCCTGTAATCTAATGCTCTGGGTCTTCTGAATTAAATTATTATCACAATTACTCCAAACCAAAACTCACTGCCATAGAGTTGACTCCCACTCATAGCAACCCCCTTTGGGTTTCTGAGGCAGTAAATCTTTACAGAAGTAGATTGCCCAGTCTTCCTTATGCAGAGTGGCTGGTGTGTTTGAACCACCAACCTTTTGGGTAGCAGTCAAATGCCTTAGGCACTATACCACCAGAGCTCCTTATCCCAATTACTAGTAGGACACAATCAAAATAGCATAAAACGTCACACCTTTTAATCCATTTTGATACCAAACCCATAGCCATCTGACTCAATCTTGACTCACGTAGGACAGAGTAGAACTGCTCTCAAGGTTTCCAAGGCTGTAATCGTTTCGGAAGCTGAGTGCCATTTTTCCCACCAAGAGCACTACCAACCTTTTGGTTCACAGCTGAGCACTTTAATCATTATAGCAGCAGTGCTCCTTTCTATTTCAATACACAGTTATTAAAGAAGAAAAGTAAAATGGGTGTGAAAATGTCTCTTAATAAACAGGCCTGTATTTAATTAAGGCGCTCTGGTGGCACTGTGGTTAAAGCAAAAGAGCGATGCCAACCCACCAGTCCCTCAGCGGTAGAAAGATGGGGCAGTCGGCTTCTGCAAAGATTTACAGCCTTGGAAATCCTACGGCGCAGCTCCTATGGATCACTATGAGTCAGAATCCACCGGAGGGCAGTGGGTTTGGTTTTTGGCTTTGGTTGGGGAAGAAAGAGGCGGGTAGCTCACGAAGGAGGGTACCTGGAGTTATTCCTCAGTAGCTTCTTAGCTCGGTTGCACTAACCAAACTTAAGCCTGCAGACCCAACTCAGAGGTTCCCTTCGTCTTCACGGTCCTTCCCCCAAAATTGCAAAGAAGGAGGTGATCTGACAAGAATTGCCCGAGATTTAGCGAGGGTGTTGGTAGGTTGCCCGATAGAGGGCACGCGAGACGCGTAGAGTTGTTCTGCACAGGCCCCACCCCGGGCTCGCCTAGGCCCCGCCCCGGCCCGGCCCGCTCAGGCCCCGCCCATCACCGTCACGTGACGGGGCGCTGAGTTCAATCTGTTGCTGATGCTGTCGTGCAATATTCGTCATGGAGCTGGTACTGCGGAGTTACTGCGATCTGCGGCTGCTGCTGCTGCTCCTCGGATTCAGCGCGGGTAGGTTCGGGCAGAAGGCGCATCAGTGGCCGGTGCCGCCGCTTCTCTCCAGGGATGAGGAGAGTTAGTTAGTGGGCTTGTGCTTTTGGAAAGAAATCTTTTTCCCAAGTCTTAACGTTGTGTAATTATAATAATTTTGAAACCCCCCCCCATTAAAAAATTCAAAGTGCTTTCTCCACCCTATTCTGGGCTCTCAGTTGTCTCCTTTCCTCCCTATGCTGAATAGAAGCATTTATGCAGGAATGTATTATTTTGGGAACTTGCTGATCAGTAAGGTTTCCGCGATCTGGAAGTTTCTACCTCATTTTCCGGCTGAATGTGGTTATAATGTCTATTTTGAGCTAAAACATGTGGTCAAAAAGACTCTTAAAGCCCTACGGTGAGTGAGAAACTTTGAGAAAGGCCTTGCCTCAATTTGACCAGAATAGACAAGGTAACATCTCCCCGGACCCTGACATTTTTTCGCAAAAGTAAATTCATTTTTAAAAGGATGGGTTGCAAACTGATTTTGACCCTTTTTCGTTCTTAATGGCTCATCAAAATGTCTCCCGGTCTGAGTCAAGAATTGAGAAGCTTGTCTTGTGATCTTAGGCATGTTGCTTAATAATTCTTGTTTTCTCCATGGGAATCATTTGACCCATCAATTTGTATCTCGGAAACAACATGCTGTCCCCAGAATTGTGGCAGGAGTGCCTGGGGTGGGGTCAAAAGTCATTCTGTCATTTTCAAGGTGACTGTAATCCTGTGTTGCTTGTATAATTAAAAGTTATCGAAAATGTGTGTGTGAGAGAGAAACAGCCAGAGAGCGAGCAAGCCAAGTACACATCTTGCAGCCACATCTGTAACGTTCTAGCCACACGTACAATGTTGTAGCTGTTATGTTTCACTCTTCTGGCCACTTTTTGGTTTTCTTAACCTGCATTCTTATAAATTATAAAATAGCATTATCTCTTTCTCATCTACCCCCATCTCTTCCCCGGTGGAACAGGTTTTTGTTCTTTCACTTGCCAGAAGGCTTGAAATTTAGAAGGCAGAAAAATCTATCACCGATGGTAACCTCATTCCCATCACTTTTTTAACATCAGCCTTTTTTTTTTTTTTTAAATCTACAGAGTGGTTTTTGAGAAAAAAGATACTGTAATTTAGAATTTGTTGCTTCAGCCAAAGATGACATAGAAAATATATTTAACCAACTCTTTTCTGCACCAGCCACTCAGTGGAAGGAAGACTGGGCTATCTACTTCTGTAAAGATTTACTGCCTCGGAAACCCAGTGGGGGTCGCTATGAGTCGGAATTGACTCTGTGGCAGTGAGTTTTTTTTTTTTTTTTTTTTGGTTTATTCTTTTCTGATGCATGGTTTGCAGATGCTAGAAAAGTTAAAACTAAGGTAAATTAAATCTATGGAATTAAAATATATATATCCCTAGTGATGCAGTGGTTAAAGCACTTGGCTGCGAACTGAAAGTTTGGTGCTTTGAACTCATCAGCTGTTCCACTGGAGAAAGATGTGGCATTGTGCTTCTATAAAGATTACAGCCTTGGAAACCACAGGGAGCAGTTAGGATTGCTATGAGCCAGAATCAACTTGATTGCAATGATTTTTTTTAATGTATGTGTACTTTTGTACAGATATGTGTATATGTATTTTGTGTCTGTATAGTGTGTGTATGTGTATGTATGTATGTGTATATAAGTAATTTTTTTTTTTTTCTAATGAGAGATTTCCCAAAATGTCGTGCCAGGGCTCCTTACCAGCAGTGAAGGGCCTGTCTCAAGATTCCTTGGGGACATTGAGTACCTTTCATCATTTTTAGTCCATCAAATAAGCAAAGATTTTTTTTTTCTTGATGACCTCATTACTTTAATTCTCATCTTTGAATATTAATGATGCTAACCATTCTTTCACATGTTTATCAGATATTTGTATTTCACTTTTTTTTTTTTTGTAAATTATCTCCATCTAACTATTAGGGTCTCCAGTGTTTTTAAATTGATTTGTGTATGAGTAAGGAGCTCTTGGTTGAGACATTTGGCTGCTAACCAGAAGGTCAGCAGTTCAAACCCACCAGCTGCTCTGCAGAAGGAAGACGGGGCTATTTACCTCTGTAAAGATTTACAGCCTCAAAAACCCAATGGGTCAGAACCAACTAGATTGCAGTGAGTTTGTTTTTCTTTTAAATATGAGTAAAGAAAATTGCCTTTTTTCATATTTGCTGAAGACTTCTTACTTAATTGCTGCCATTTTAATTTTGTTACGCAGAAATCTTAACAATTTTCAGTCCTCACCTCCGTTGATATTTTCCATTGTAATCTATGAACTGTGCTTAAATTCCTTGCTCAGAAAAATATTCAATTATATATTTTTAAAAATTTTAATATTGAAATTTAAATAATTGATTCATTTGGAATTTATTTTGTTTTATAGAGTTAAAAGAGAACTTAAATGAAAATTTTTTTTCCTCCAAAAAAACTAACCATGCCCCAGCATCTGGTATTGCATGATCTTGGCCCCACTAATTTGTGATTCCTCTTTAATCATGTAAAGGAGCTGTGGTGGTGCAGTGGGTAAGGCATTTGGCTGCTAACCAAAAGTTTGGTGGTTTAAACCACCAGCTGCTCCGTGGAAGAAAGATAAGGCAGTCTGCTCCCATAAAGATTTACAGCCTTGGAAACCCAATGAGGGTTGCTACGAGTTGCAGTCAACTCGATGGCAATGAGTTTAGTTTGTTTTTTTTAATCATGTATTAAATCCCATATAAAACCTAGTGTTTTACATTTTGAAATTTTTTTTGCCCTCAAAATGTAAATCTTTGTCTTGTTTTTATAAAAATTATAAAAATATTTCATGCTTCTTGTTAAAAATCCAGACATTGTAGATGTGCATAAAGGAAAAAGTATAAGTCCCAGCCTCCTGTCCCACTACTGTGTTAGGCTTGGTTTATTTTTTCATTAACTGAGTTTTTCGTAATCCCCACAGTATATTGGTGGGGAGTGGGGGGTAGGGGGAGTGTAAATCACCTAAAATGTAAAACAACTCATCTCAGACCCAGCGTGGCCACATCTATCAGGCTTGGAATTCACCTGGACATTGGACCTTCTTTGGGGAAATCAAGTTGTGCTTTTGTTTCAGGAGCTGTCCTCAGCCGGCCCACAGATGAAGGCAAGGAGGTATGGGGTTATGTGACAGTCCACAAGGATGCCCACATGTTCTGGTGGCTCTATTATGCCACCAACCCCTGGAAGAACTTCTCAGAACTGCCCCTGATCATGTGGCTTCAGGTAAAAGGGCTTTCTTTGCTGCCTGGACTGGGGTTGATGTCAGGTTTCCCCCACTTTCCACTTTTCTTGTTCCTAAGGGCTCATGACTGGGTAACCAGAACCAACCAGTTGCCATCAAATCAGTTTTGACCCCATGGGTGTCAGAGTAGAACTGTGCTCCATGGGGATTTCAGTGTTGGATTTCTCACTACGTCACCAGGCCTTTCTTCCAAGGCCCTTCTGGGTGGACTTGAAACACCAGCCTTTTGGTTAGTCCCCAAGCATGTTAACTGTCTACACCACCCAGGGATTTCTCACTGCTGGGTCGGGGTGCAAATGGCATTCTGTTCAGCATGAAGTGAAGTGAAGACTTGATTTAATTGGTCCGGCAGCCAGCTGCGGGTGTCCCAGGCCTGGGGGTTCGACATTCATCCGAGTCAAGCTGAGGCAGTGTTGTAGCCAAGGAGGCTAAGTCATTGAGTGAGGGGTTCTGGCCTTTTGCTGGAGTCTCTTAGTGGGACATGACACCCAGGCAGTTGCAGGAACCCTTACTGAAAGTACTTGATAGTACACTTGACTTTATATACTTTGAAAGGTTCAGAAGCAAAGACAGTGTTCCTTTCTTTCTTCTTCTCCAAACTCTTTCGTAAGACCCTGACTTCTTGTCCTTGGGGATTGTTGGATCTTTTTCTTTTTTTCGTTAAAGTGTTCAATACTTCTTTCTGCTTTTAGCAGCTTTATAATATAATTTCCATATCATACAATTCACTCATTTAAAATTCGATGGGTTTTAGTATATTGTCACTTATGTGCAACCAATTTCCTTATCAAGTTCACAACTTTTTCATGACTTCAAAAAAAATCCTGTATTATTTAGCTTTCACCTTCTTGTCCTTCTCTTTCCCCCTTTGCCCTAATCAGCCACTCTTCTCCTTCTATCTCTGATCATTTCCCTGTTCTGGATTTCATATGAATGGAATCACATAATATATGGACTTTCATGACTGGCTTCTTTCATTTAATATAATGTTTTCAAGGATTATCCACGTTGGAGCATATATCAGTTCATTTTTTTTTATGGCTGGTGTACACATGTTGTGTATTCATTCCTCTGCTGATGGTCATTTGGGTTGTTTCCACCTTTTGGCTATTTTGAATAATGCTACTATAAACATTCATGTATAAGTTTTTGTGTGGACATATGTTTTCATTTTTCTTGAGTATGTACCTAGGAGTGGAATTGCTGGGTCATATAGTAACTCTTTTGGGGGAGAACTACCAGACTGTTTTTCAAAGTGGCTGCACTATTTTACAATCCACTGAAAAGCCAATCTTTTGAAAAGGCTTGCTACCAGTCTTTTGTATCTTAGTGTGAAATTTTGACCCTGCCTTCTCCCAGAGTGTGTTCCTGCTTTAATCTTGATCTGTGCTTGTGGAATTGAGGGCAGGCAAAGGATCCCTCCTGGTATTCCTGAAATATCTGTCCAGAGGTGGCCCACACCCACCTGGAAGACCAGTCTCTAGGGAGGGGTTGAGGAGCATGGTCTTGCTTCAGCCTCAAATGTGGGCTTGGCCCTGCCGGGGCTCTGGGTTGCTCATCGGTAAATAGGGCATCCTGGAGCCACCTCCATGTGATGCAAACGCCACTTCTTCCAAAAATGCCAATAGAGAAGGAACCTCCCAGTGCCCAAACTTGGCCTTCTAGGTCCTTTGATGCAGACTTTCTGGTGGGATAGAACAAAGATGAGCAGTTTTCAGGGAGGGATCCTGCTCTTGTGGGATTATCACTTGTGGCTCCTTTGAGGGCTAGAGGTGAAGCTCAGCTCAATAGTAGTGGTGGTTGTTAGCTGTTGTCTAGACAACCCCCAATTAATGGCAACTCCGTGAACAACGGGATCACACAGTTGTGATCCATAAGGTTTTCATTGGCTGGTTTTTCAGAAGTAGTGTTCTGGTTACCTAGTGCTGCTCTGACAAGAATATACCACAAATGGGATGGCCTTAACCAACAGGAGTTTACTCTCTTACAGTTTGGAGGCTTTAAGTCCAAGTTCAAAGTGCCAGACTCTAGGGGCTGAGTGAAAGCCCCTCAACCTTGGGGTCCAGCTCTGCCTCCTGCTCCCGGCCCACTGGAGCTAGAGGCATTTCTTTACTCAGACAGTGGCTGGCTGCTGAGGCTGAGAAGCCCCAAGGTTGACAAGTAAAAAAGCACAGTCCCGATGTTACCAAGCCACATGGCAGGCCATTAACTTAAGTCCATTGTAAGTCCCAAGGTTGGCAGAGCATGGCAGGCTGCTGAACAATGACATGGCTACATGCAGGGTCCACGCGTGCCATGAGCTAGAGACCATTCCCAAGCTTCTCCTTATATACAGGAAGCAGACCACATCCCATAGGCAGCTACTCAGCCGCTTGTGGTAGATCCCACCATGGAGTTGATTGCCAGTCTCATCATGGGGAATAACTCCCACCAGCTGCCCAGCCACTCAACCAGACCCAGCCAAGTTGACACATACACATAACTACCACAAGCAGATTGCCAGGCCTTTCTTCCTAGTCTATCTTAGTCTGCAAACTCTGCTGAAGCCCATTGTGCATCGCAGCAACACACAAGCCTCCACTGAAGGACAGGTGGTGGGGCTGTGCCTGAGGTGCATTGGCCAGGGCATCAGGCCCAGGTCTCTGTCATGGCAGGTGAGAATTCTGCCACTACACCACCACTGCCCCCACCAGCCCAACAGTGCAGAGAAGAAAATGTCTCAGAAGAACCCATGCATTTTAGCCCAGGGAACTTGTGTCAGTGTGAAGGGTGGCTGGAGGCTGAGGTGCTGCTGGAGGCTAAGGCCATGGGGCAAAATAATCAGTGGACAAGCCTAGGCCTGCTGCTCAGAAGACCTAGGTTCTAGTCCCCTTCCTGCCATCTATACCTGTGAAAAGACAATTCGCTCCTCTGAACCTCTGTTTTCTAATCTGAGGAATTTCACTGGTTTTCAAATTTTTTGTTAATAAGCAGAACTTTTTTGTCCCTAAGTGAAAGCTTACATTTGGAAGCCAAAGGCCATAAAAGTGGAAGTGCCATAGTTGGGGAGGGGGAGGAGGTTCAGAGCCTAGCAAGCCCCACTGATCCTTACATCCTTTTGCCTAGACTGCCCCTGAGACACATTCTTGCTCTTAGGAAGAGCTTTGAAAAATACCAACTTTCAGAGCTTGCAGCTCTCCTTTTGGCTGACAGTAGAGTAGGTGGTTTAATTGAATTAGCTGCCAACATTTTAAAATCAGGAAGTTTCTTTTGGAAAAAATCAGGTGATCTGTGGTGATTAATGTGCTCATCTGCAGTAAGGTGGAGGTGTGAGTCCACCCGAGGAGTGCCTCCGAGGAAAGTCCTGGTGATCTGGTTCTGAAGTCAGCCATTGAAAACCCAATGGGGAGTGGGATTCACTCCCACTAGGATGGCTAAGATTAAAAAGAAGAGAACGAATGTTGGTGAGGAAATTGGGACCCTATTCATTGCTGGTGGTTATGCAAAATTAGACAACTACTATAGAAAATAATGTGGCAGGTCCTCAAATAACTAAAAATAGAACTACCATAAGATCCATTAATTGCACTCCTAGATATTGTTGTTGGTGTTATGTGCTGTCGAGTTGGACCCGACTCGTAGCGAGCCCTCCTTGGGTTTCTGAGGCAGTATCACTACAGAAGTAGATTGCCCCATCTTCCTTCCAAGGAGTGGCTGGTGGGTTTGAACCACGAGCCTCCTGGTTAGCAGTCAAGGCACAATGCTACCAGAGCTCCTACTGCTAGATATATGCCCCCAAAATTCGAAAGCAGAGATTCAAAGAGCGATTTTTATACCAGTGTGCATTGGTCTTGATAGCCTTTATAATATGGATGAAGCTTGAAGACATTACATTGGGTGAAATAAGCCAATCACAAAAGAACAAATATTGTATGACATCATTTATGTAAAAAGACAGGAAAAGACAAATGTATAGTGACCAGAGTTTGTTAGTGGTTGCCAGGGGTGGGAGAGAGGGAGGAAAGAGAGGTTAACAGTAATAATAATAATAAAAAAATTGCATTGATTAAGGGTAGGGTTGCTAATTGCTGGCAATAAGTTGGACACCTGTAAAATGTTGAATTGGTAAAAATTGTGTGATCGAGTACTTACAACAATGACAACAGAAGAGAGTAGCTGCTGAGGCTGCTTGTGTACAACCAAACACCTCATGGGATTTGGTTCTTTGGTTTGGAGATTTAGGGTCATAGTTAATTGGCCTAATAAGGTGTTTAGTGCTTCTGTTCTACCTCTTAATTTGTTGTGTAGTGCCTGGGGTATTAAAAGCTTGTAAGTGGTCAACCAAGGCACAACAATTGGTCTCTCTATTTGGTTGGAATGACAGAGGGAGAAGGAGAGTCGGGAACAGGAGGAGGATATGGAATGTGTGGATTGCCTCCATGAGCAGCTGCCTCCTTTGAGACCAGAAGAACAGGATGGTGCCCAGCTACCATTACTGAACATTTCAATCTAAGATTCCATAGAAGAATTCTGATGAACTGGGGGCGGGGGGGGCGGGGAATACAGAACAGAATTATGGACTCTAGACTTTCTGGAGCCATGGAAGGTGGTTGAACCCCTGAAACTATTGCTCTGAGATAATCTTTAAAACTTAAAAGTATCCCCTGAAGTCATCTTAAAATTAAACTATAGTTTAGCTCCACTATAAAAAAAAATCTGCCTTGAGCATCATGCTCTTTTAAGAACTATCTCTATGGGATCAAATGGACAACAACGATTGGAAAGATCAGATAGGAACCTTAGCAAGCAGTGTGTTTATGTTAATGGAAGAACAACTCGAAACAGAGGATAAGAATGGTTGTACAACTCAAAGAATGTAATCTGTGACTAAATTGTATATGTAGAAACTGAATTGGTATATGCTTTGCTTTGTATATTGTCAACACAATAACAAAATAAAACTTGAGGAGGGGACCTTATGGAGCATAATTCTCCTCTGACACACATGTGGTCACCATGAGTCAAAGTCGATTCCAGGCTATTTAGCTTAACAACTTGGGACATGAATTCATTGGCCCCAGAACTCCAGCCAGGGCAGGCATTCTCTGGAGGCCTCTCAGCTCTGGTGGTGTAGTGCCTGAGACATTTGACTGCCAACCAGAAGGCTGGTGGTTCAAACCCATCAGCCACTCTTCAGAAGGAAGACTGGACAATCTACATCCATAGAGATACTGGAAACTCAAGGAGGGGTTGCTATGAGTCGAATCCACTCCACAGCAGTGAGTTTGGTGTTTTTTGCTCAGCTCTCACCTGATTTCCTGGCAGTACTTGCTGCCTGGCCCCTGTAGATGTCCAGCTTGTGAACTCTGGTTAACACAGGTTAACGCTGTGAGCTGAGATGCTATTTGAAGGCAGTCCACTGGCACACGATAACCTGCACTTCTCCATTTCCTTGGAGGTCCAAGGGAGAAGAAAAGAGATTATGATTAAGGGAGGAATATTTCATTTAGATTAAAAGGAGATTTGTTTTAGCAGCCTACTGAGGAAGTGAGCACTGACTTCTCTGTTGGGATCCTTGAGAATCAGTTCACAGCATCTGAGTGGCGACGTGAGCTATTTTAGGTGCACTTCTCAGAGGTTTAAGGATTGCGGTTGGTCCACTGACACATTTACTGCATTTCAGAGGCACAGGTAGCCTTGGGCCAAGGCAGTGCCCTATCTCAAAGCTCTAGGCAAAAAAAGATTTTGCAATAGGATATTCTCAAACAGAACAAATACATCCTCCAGCCAGCTTCTCTCACTGAGAGTGGGGGGCTCCTCTCCTGTATGTTAGCGTTTTTCCCCATTGCCACATAGTTTCTCATAGCCTGTGATTCTCAATGGCAGGGTGGTTCCATCCTGTAGAGGAGCTAGGCTATACTGACCCGTTCCCTCCTGCTGGACATTCGCATTCCATCCTGACTTGTGCTGTTGTTGCAGATAGCACTGGGATGGTCATCTCTATCTAGTTCATGGACTTTTTACCACTGTGTTAGGAAATCTTAAGCTGCACACTGCACGTAATTAGGATTTTTTTAATAGCCTCTCAATTTTGTAATAGTTGGCTTGGTTCAGGTTCAAAACATTAAATAGTCTCATAAAATCTTCCTCTAGTGGGGTCCCCTGGAGCTGTCTGGTTACCTCTTCACCCCAACTCTGCTTGGCCCTTTTTTTTCTTCATTAGAATTTCCAACGCAAATTGCCCTGTTTTGCCTAAGCTATTCCCTTCTGTCTCTCTCTGTGCGTGTCTTCCTTCCCTCCCCACCCTGTTTGTGCACAAGGAGACAGTAACCTTTTGTTCTAGGCCCTAGGCCTGTCCCCTCACCTCAGCTGATAATGCTTTCCCCATGGACCCCAAGCCAGCTGGCACCCTAGAAAAGATCTAGCACTGACCAGCCTTTCCCTGACCAGCTTCTGCCCCTGTTTTGCCCCCTGGTTTCTTTTCTCTCATCCCATTTCTTAATCCACCAGGCCTCATAGAACCTCTCCCTCTCATATGACTGTGGAGCTGCCCATGGGGGCACCGAGCTTCAGTTCAGAACCCTGCCTATCCCTGCCCTGTGCCCACAGCGTCAAATACTCCTGCCCTGGGGCTTTGCATCTGCCATATGAGAGCCTAAGAATCACGTTGATTAAGCTCTCCTTGCAGTCTGGGTCCCTTATCAGACCACAGGGACTCTGAGGAGAATCTACCTCAAGGCACTGACAGGAAGGAGTTGGCAGGGTGGAGAGTCATGAGGGCGAGGATCTTGTCCTAGCTGAGCCCCTAATTGGCCGAATGACCCAGGCCAGCCCCATCCCCTCTCTGAGTTCTACTGCCCATCTCTGACATGAGGGGCATTGGACAAAATGTTCTTTAAGTTCTCTACCAGGGAGCTATGTAAGCACAGGGAGACAGCTCAGGGGGAAGGAGTCCATGGGAGGGAAGGACACAGGGAAGAGGTGGCTATGGGGAGGAAGTGGGAGGAGAGCTGTTGCATTGTGGGAGATTACAGTCAATGTCATGAGACAAAGTGTATATGAACTGCTGTATGGAAGAGGAATTTGCTCTGTAAACTTACACCCAAATCACAATAAAATTAAAAAAAAAAGAATCTCTTCCAGGTGTGAAAGTCAGTGAGCCCGATGGCAGGATAAGGCCAAGCTGGAGAATCAGGAGGTGGGAAAGTTCTCTCTAGAAGCATGAGTCAGAAAGGGGCTCTGAGTCCAGGTCTGTTCCGTTCAAGCAGAGAAAACTTGGCAGTTACCCAGAGGCCGATTTGTACAGAAGCCCCCGGTTCACTGGATGAATTGTGTCCTCTGGGCACAACAATGATCCTGCCAAACTCATTTGTATGAATGTGGTGATCTGTTGTAATGACAGGTTTGAGTACAGCTTTCCCCAGATTTATTTTTGCTTCTTTTCTCTTCCACAGGGAGGTCCAGGAGGTTCCAGCACTGGATTTGGAAACTTTGAGGAAATTGGGCCCCTTGACAGTAATCTCAAACCACGAAATACCACCTGGGTATAGTGAGGATTGCCTCTAATGGAACCTGTGATGTGGCCTTTCACAACTGAGCCCCACTCTGCCCTCCCAGCTGTGGGTTGGGTCACAGATTCAGTAGTGTGTGCTTTTCCCTCCACCACCACCACCACCACCATCATCACGTGGGCCTTCCTCCCCAGTATACTGAGGCCTTGGGCACGGGTCCACAGACTTGTTCTTTGGTTCAGCAGCTGCCTGTTTCTCACAACAGCTTGACCCACGTGAATCTCTCTTGCCAACCCTGTGACCTTTCTCTCCACTTGCCTTCAGAAACCTACTCTAGTAGCTATCCTGTGGCCCTTGTTACCCACATACTAGCCATCTCTGAAATCTCAGACTCTGGGGTCCCACTCTCTGGCTACAACCTCTAATCCTCTCCCCTCTCTCCTATCTTGCTACATAATTCACTTATTTAAAGTGAATGATTCACTGGCTTCTAGTGCATTTACAGAGTTGTGCAGCCACCACAACAATCAATTTTTTTTTAAATTGTGATTTGGATGAAAGTTTACAGAGCAAATTCATTTTCCATACAACAGTTCATACACATTTTCTTTCATGACATTGACTGCAATTCCCCACAATGTAATAACTCTCTTCCTACTTCCTCTTGATATTTACCTCTTCCCTGTGTACTTCCTCCCATGCACTCCCTCCCCCTGAGCTGTCTCCCTGTGCAAACACTGCCTTTCTGTTCTCCCAAGATTGATCGCTCCAAGGAGTGTATCTACCTGATGTAAATGTTCACCCCGCATGCCTGTCTGTTGTTTGGCTGGAAGCCACAGGAGTGAGTTCCATTCCAGACCTGAAGGGGGTAACAAGGGGACATAGTCTCAGGGGTCTCACCAGGCTCTCTCAGACCAGCAAACCTGATCTCTTTTTATGATTTTGAATTTTCACAGCAATCAGTTTTCAAACATTCTCATCACCCCCCAAAACCCATATACCCCTCAGCTGACATCTCTCATTCCCTTCATCACTCCCAGCCTTGGCAACCACTAATGTACTGTCTGTCCTGTAGCTTTGCCTGTTCTGAGCATTTTATTGGAGTGGAATCATAAAATATATGGTTGTTTATGACTGGCTTCTTTCACTTAGCATAGTGCTTTCAGGGGCCATCCGTGTTGTAGCATGTGGCTCCCTCCTTTTTCGTTGTCAGATGATATTATACTGTATAGACACACCATATTTTGTTGATCCATCTCTTGATGCACATTTGGGTCGTTTCCCTATTTGCAGAGTATCCTCTCCAGTCCATTCCTCCAATGCAAATCACTCCTTTGTTTAACATCTTGCAGTTGCCTAACAATCAGATCAGACTTTTCAGCTTAATCTGGCTCTTGCCTACCTCCAGCCACATCTCCTGACACTTACCCATGTAACCCCTGTGTTCAGCTTCTGCATGGCAATTTCCTTAGCTTGCCCTTCATTCATTTGGCCACCCATTGACATCCAGCTCACCATAATCACAAGTACTTTAATACATCTTTAAGTTCCTCTCTCAGTCCTTAGAATTTCTCATCTCTTTCTACACTGGTCTTCCTTAAGTGCACTTTATTACTCTTGCCTCAGGGTCTTTGCACATGCTGTGCCTTTGGTCTGGAACATGCCTGTACTTAACTTCCAACTGAAATGTCACTTCTACTTGCAGTCCCAAGCCTCTCAACTAAGAGGGCAGCATGGCTGGTACAGTGAAAACCAAGAATGAGGACACCCATGTTTGGTCCTCTAGTGCCACTCTTAATAGAAAAATATCACAGATGTATGGCTTTAATGAACAAGAATTTATTCTCTTACGGTTCAGGAGGCTAGAGATCTGAGTTCAAAGTCCCAGCTCTAGGGGCTGGTTGAACGCCCCTCAACCTTGGGCTTCAGCTCTGCCTCTTGTTCCCAGCCCACTTGAGCTGGAGGCTTCTCTTAACTCAGGCAGCTGCTTGCTGCTGAGGCCGACAAACCCAAGGCCAGCAAGTACAATGGCACAGTTCCAGGATTGTCAAACAACATGACAGGCCACTAGTTCAAATCCAGGGCCAGCATGGTGGGCTGCTGAATGAAGACTCAGCTAAACATAGGTTCCAAGTGTGCCAAAAAAGCTCAGAGACCTTTCTCAATGCTGTTTCTTATATACTGGAAGCAGACCACATCCCTAAGGCAACTGCTCAGCTGCTCACTGCAGATTCTACCATGGAGGTGATTACCAGTCTCATCACGGGAAATAACTACATCCAGCTACCCAGGCACTCAAAACCAGGCTTAGCCAGGTTGACACACAATCTTAACTACCACTACCCAGGTTCCAGTCTTGAAGCTATCATTCATTACCTACCCAACTTTGTGACCTTAGGGAGGTTCTCTGCCCTTTCTGGGCATTAATTTCCTGATCAGGAGCTCTGGTGGCATAGTGGTAAAAAGCACGCAGCTGCTAACAAAATGGCTGGAGGTTTGAACCCACCAACCACCCAATGGGAGAAAGATGAGGCAATCTATTTCCGTAGAGATTTAAAGCATTGGGAACTCTATGGAGCAGCCTATTCTGTCCTAAAGTATTGCTCTGAGTCAGAATCAACTCAGTGGCAGTGGGTTTGGTTTTTGGTTTAATTTCCTGATCAGTGAAGAACTTGATTATACCATTTCTACCAGTCCTTCCAGTTGTAAAATTCTATAATCTTTGGAAAAGATACTAGAATAAATTCTGTTCTCATAGTGTATAGGGCCAGTGTAGAAGTTGGCTTCCTCTTAAAGAGAACCGATATGTGGTAGTCAGGCCTTAGGACGCTCTGATTCTTAGAGTTACTGTTCAGACTGACGGTGGTTTTACATGTTCTAATTTGTTACATTTAGTACATTTGTATTATGTAAAAAGTGACAACTTAGATTCTTTGATCCCCATGTCCATATTATCTTTCCCTCTTGCCTCTCCTGCTAACGCTTTTTCTTTTTCTGTTAAATAAAACCTCTTTTAACAACAGGATCATTACCACAGTACTTATCTTCATGTGTGGATTTTGTGCACACATTTGTGTTGTTGTTAGGTGCTATCAAGTCAGTTCCAACTCCTAGCAACCCTGTGTGCAACAGAACAAAGCACTGCTCAGTCCTGCACCATCCTCACAATTGTTGCTGTCCTTGAACCCATTGTTGCACCACTGTGCCAGTCCATCTCATTGAAGGTCATCTTCTTTTTCCCTGACCCTCTACTTTTCCAAGCATGGTCTCCTTCTCCAGGGACTTGCCCCTCTTGACATGTCCAAAGTACATAAGACAAAGTCCTCCATCCTCACTTCTAAGGAGCGTTCTGGCATTACTTCTTCTGAGACAGATTTGTTTGTCCTACTAGTATATTCAGTATTCTTTACCAACACCATTATTCAAACACATCAGTTCTTCTTCGGTCTTCCTTATTCACTGTTCAGCTTTTGCATGCATATGAAGCAATTGAAAGCATGGCTTGAGTCAGGTGCACCTTAGTCCTCAGAGTGACATCTTTGCTCTTTAACACTTTAATGAAGAGTTTTGCAGCAGGTTTTCCCAATTCAATTCGATGTAAGATGTTCATATAAGATCTTCAAAAGGTAATTGCTGACCAACTGACTGATGGCAACATTGGTTTTCCTCTGTGGCATGTAGCTCCAGTCTGCCAGTCTCCTGTTTGTGGATAATCCTGTGGGCACTGGGTTCAGTTATGTAAACACAAGTGATGCATACACCAAAAATCTTGACATGGTGGCTTCAGACATGATGGTTCTCCTGAAAACATTCTTTGACTCCCACACAGAATTCCAGGTAAGCAAAGACTGGGAACAGCTAAGGAAGGGGCTAGTAATAGCATCATGACATCCATCAGAGTAAACTTAAACTTTCTTAGGAATTAAGCGTCCAGCTGGTTTCACAGAGAACTTTTCATATTCGAGATTAGGTTGTGAGCTTTTGTTTTTGTCATCTCTAAAGCTGGTGTTTTTTTTTTTTTTTTTTTTTAACTTGAAAGAACGTCCCTACAGTCCAGTCACTTTTTTATAATCAGATATGATAATCAGAGGGGAAGAGACAAAAACAGATTTGTTTTGTCTGGCCATTAGACGCAATAGATCTTTATAATGAATTTATATGAATTAAAAATTAAAAATCCGGATATTTACCTACTTGTATATTCCTTTCCTTGCTAGACGATTCCATTCTACATCTTCTCAGAGTCCTATGGAGGGAAAATGGCTGCTGGCATTAGTCTGGAACTTCATAAGGTAACAGGGAAGGTGACTTGGTTGTTTTGGTTTTGGACAGAAAACTGATCATGTTACTTTTTTATACTCATCTGATGCTGAATGTACTTTGGATAGGAGCTTGTGCCTGAAGAGTAAGTCTGTGATAATAACCAAGAAAAGTTTTCTTTAAAAGAACAGCAAATGTTGCCTTATTAGATATCAAATGAACTTTAAAGCTACAGTGAGGAAAACACCGTGGTACTGGCATAGCATCTGAGAAATAGATTGAGTGGAATGGGATAAAGAATCTAGAAACAGATATTAAAAACATCTATGTGTGTATGTCTTTATATAGCTATGCACACACATACACATATAACTATTTTATATAATAAGCTATAGTATAACGTTTTATATCTATATATTAAGTATTTATAAGTATATTTCTCATACATGTATGTGTTTATATGTGTATACACACAGATACATATACCAGCTCTGGTGGTGTAGTGCCTAAGGCATTTGACAGCTAACTAGAAGCTAGCGGTTCAAACCCACCAGTCACTCCTCAGAAGGAAGATTGGGTGATCATCTACTTCCGTAGAGATACCACTTCAGAAACCCAAGGAGGGGTTGCTATGAGTCAGATGCGACTCAATGGCAATGAGGTTTTTTTTTTTTTTTTGTTATACACACACACACACACACACACAGTAAGATGGCATTTTAAATCATTGGGACAGGGTAGGATATTCAATATGGAAACAAATGGCTATTTGGAAATAGTGAAGTTGGATTTCTGCCTTATATAAATTCTAGATGGATTAAAAATACAAAAATAAAAATTACAAGAGTCCTTGGAAATAAAGGAGAAAAATTTTATAATCTTGGGTGGAAAAAGCTTTCCTCCACAAGATAGAACACCTAAAAGATGAAAAAGATATTTGACATATTTAGACCATATACAAATTTAAAACTTCTGAGACTCCCATCAGCAATTTTAAAAGACAACTGATAGACTGGGAAATAATTTTTATAAAATATATAGTAGAGAAAGGCATTCATTCAATAAAACTGTAAGAAACAAATTCTGCTCTATAAGTTTGCACCTAAAGCACAATAAGTAAATAAATTCATAAGAAAAAGACAGTATCCCAGTAGAAAAATAGGCAAAGAATATGAACAAGCATTTTATAGAGGTGCTCTGGTAGCATAGTGCCTAAGGCGCTTGACTGCTAACCAGAAGGCTGGTGGTTCAAACCCACCAGCCACTCCTCGGAAGGAAGGTTGGGCAATCCTACTTCCGTAGTGATACTGCCTCGGAAACCCAAGGAGGGGTCGCTATGAGTCGGGGCCAACTCGACGGCACATAACAACAACAACAACAACAACAGCTAGCCTGTGGATATATAAAAAATTCCCAACTGGAACCCAGGCCCATCAAATTTGCAAATATTTAAAAGATGTGTAGTAACCACTTCTGGTAAAAAGTCAGGGAAGTAAGTGCTCTCATACACTTTAAGTTGTACTAAACCAAAACCAAACTCACTGCTGTCGAGTTGATTCCAACTCCTTGGGTTTCCGAGGTGGTATCTCTATGGAAGTAGGTTGCCCAACCTTCCTTCCGAGAAGGAAGGAAGGCTTAATGAGTTCAAGGTAATAATTTTAGATAGATTATAACATAGGTCAGGGTTAAAATCTGGCCTGCCACCTGTGTTTGTTGTTGTTGTTGTTGTTATGTGCTTTGAACCGCCAGCCTTCTGGTTAGCTGTCAAATGCCTTTGGCACTACACCACCAGAGCTCCCCTGAGGTTGGATTAGAAAATGGAAAATCATTTGAAAGGGGTTATTTGGCAGTATCTATCAATTTTTAAAGTAGATGTGCCAGTTGATCCCATAATTCCAGTCCCAGGAATCTGCTCTATAGAAATACTTACACATGTGTATATTTGATAGCGTGGTTCCTATGTCATTGCTTATAATGTCCATAAACTAAACAAGCCCAGTGGCTATCAGTTGAGGACAACTTAAATAAAGTAGGTCCATCCTTCCATGTTAGAGCAGTTTGCAGTTGTCATAAAGAATGTATGCATGTAAGCATGTAACATTGTCTTGTGGGTGTTGTCAAGTAGAAAGAGCAAGTTGTAGATCATTGTGAGAGACATAGTTAGTAAAACAAAAGGCCACCTATATGTGGGTGAATGTGTTACACACACTACGAAGGGAAAGAAGAGGATTGAAAGGATACATATCATATTCACTGGTTAACTGATCTATATGAAGGTACAGATGGCCAGATGTGAAAGAGTTTTCCATGTTTTTTTCTGTTTTTCTCGTGTTTAAATTTTGTGCAGTGAGCTTGCGTGAGTTTTATTTTCTTAAGATGAATGACTTCTTTGAAAAATAAACCTTTTGTAGAAGCAGTACATGCGCATTACAAGAAATTGGAAAATCCAACAAGAGAAAATGAGAAATCTCACTCATCTTCCCACTAGATATAGACCACACTGTCAACTACTCTTAACGCCTTAGCATGTAGCCTTCTATGTCCTTTTCTGCACATTTATAAATAAATAATTAATTTTAACCAAAATGAGGTCAGCTTGTACATACCATCTATATCAGTAGTCTTCACATTTTCATTTCAGTAAATTTTCCTCAAATATTCAGGCTTCTTCAGTTGACCTCAAAATATCCTTTATAGCTGGTTTGTCTACACCAGTATTCAATCCAGACCTATGAATTGCATCTGGCCGTGTGGTTCCTAAAGTCTGTTTTAGCCTAGCACAGTCCTTTTTTATGACAGTGATTTGTTGAAGAAACTAGAACCATTACCTTGCAGAATGTCCATTTTCTGAATTTATCTGGTATCTCCTTCATGGTGTTAATTTAATTTATTCTGCTATTTGCTGTGTTTCTTAGAAAACTGGAAGTTATATGTAAAGGCTTGATGAGTTCAAGGTAATAATTTTAGATAGATTATAACATAGGTCAGGGTTGAAATCTGGCCTGCCACTTGTGTTTATGAAGCCTTTAAACTAGGAATATTTTTTACCATTTTTAATGGTTGGGGCAGCAGGAGCAAGGAATTAAAAAAATGATATTTCATGACACATGAAAATGACAAGAAATTCAAATTTCAGTGTCCATAAGTAAAGTTTTATTAGAATGCTCATTTCTATACATATTGTCTGTGGCTGCTTTAGCATTACATCAGCAGAGCTGAGTCATTGCAATACAGACACACACAGCCTAAATATTTAATATCTAGGGTTGTTGTTGTTGTGCAAACAAACACACAACATTTTGTGTACAAATGTATACAGCATTACATAGAAATATAATCGAGTTGGACCCGACTCATAGCGACCCCTCCTTGGGTTGCCGAGGCATCACGTCAAAAGGCACATCATGTCTAGATCTAGTTTGCCCACCTTTAGGGATTGAAGAAGGTCCCAACAGCCTGTCCCCTTCACTAAACTCCTCTACCTTCCCCCTTTGACTGACAGTTACCTCAGGGATGTCATTTTCACACTACATGGATGTCTAGTTCCCCTTTTACCTTTTACCTAATGGCTTAAAGTCACTGATTTTAAATCAGTAATTTTATTAGTCTTTAAAATGATGGCTTCTCTCTCTGTCATTTTGTTCATACCTATTAGCTGGCATTAATCCATAAAGTAGACTTTTCCCTCATCACCTGGTACTGTTTAGGTTACTCCTGAAATACAGTGCTGTCTGGAAAAGCCGGCTGAGTGCATAATTCTTTTTCCTTTAATTACCAATGTTCAAAGCAGGATACTTTTTTTTTTTTCTTTTCTAAATGCTAGATTTCCCTGAATAGCTAGGACGTTCACATAATTCAAAAAATGTAAAAGGAATACTATAAAAATTCTCCCTCTTGACTCTGCCGACCCTCTCCCCTAAGACAACTCTGTTAGTTTGTCCTATATCTTTCCAGAGGTATTTTATGCATGTGTAAGCTAATTCACATTGTTTTTTCCCAAGTTTTATACAAATGATAGCATATGCTGCACACTATTCAGTACTTTTTTAAAAAAAAAATTAATTAAAAATAATATCTTGGCACTCTCCTTATATCGATTCATAAAAAAACGTATTAATTTAATGTTGTGTCATGAGCTGTGGAAATAACCATACTTCATTTAGCCAGCCCTGTGGATGGTTATTTAAATTGTTCCCAGTTGTCTCCTACTGGAGAGATGGATTCCTTTTAAAATAAGTAAAGGGAGCAGAATGTCCTGAAAGCACTCTTCCACCCTCAGACTTCCAAGGGCCCTACAGTGAGCACTGTTTATTCAGCAGTGGCTGAGGTCTCTTAGTTCATTCTCAGAACAGAAGAATCAAAATTGATGGTTGAAGGCATTCTCAGGGCCCAGAGAGGTATGTAATTTGCCCTCTGACATGGAATGAATGACCTAGTCAGGATTCAAACCCAGGTCTGTTTGACTCAGTTCACTGCTTATTCAGCAGTGGTGGTGCCCAAGGAGCCTTTTGAATACCTCATAAGAAATAATACACCCCAGTGGAGGATGGATGGCAATGTCCTTTCTAAAGAAGATGAGGAGCTGCACAAGACCTCATACATGTCCTGTGACTGAGGTAGAGGTTTACACAGTTCCTATTCATTTTGCAAATGGCGGCAAGGAAGAGTCACTCTTGCTCCCTTGTGGGTATCATGTCTTTTGAAGGCCAGGGAATCTTGGAAAGGGTGGGCAGAAGTTTTCTGTGTTCAGGAGGGACAGGGTATAAAGGCTTGCCTCCTCTCTGTTGAGGGGGGGCATGGAGGCCCCTGTGTGCTCTTGGGAAGATTGTTTCTCGGCTGCTCTTTTTTCAGGCCATTCAGCAAGGGAGCATCAAGTGCAACTTTGCTGGGGTTGCTTTGGGCGATTCCTGGATCTCACCTATTGGTAAGTACAGGTTTTTCAGGCATTTATTTACTTCCCTTTCCCTCATTTTCCTCTGGGACTTTTGGGCTGTGTTGTTCCAGTCAAAGAACAAGGCAGCAGGTGTTTCTGAGCCCTTGGAAATGTCAACACAGAAAGTATTGGCTTCAGGAGCATCTGAGAGATGTGGGCATGAGAGGTCACCTTCAGAGCTCCTGCCATGGGGCACTGAGAGCTGAACTGAGGTCTCTTATTTCATTCTCACAACAGAAGAATCAAAGTTGATGGTTGAAGACATATTCAGGGCCCAGAGAGGTGATGTAATTTGCCCTCTGACACAGAATGAATGGCCTAGTCAGGATTCAAACCCAGATCTGTTTGACTCAGTTCATTCCTTCCCTCACAAACGCTTGGAGTGAAATGCTCATCTATTGCTCCTGTTAATGACAAGGTGAGATTGTTGTCAAATGATGCAATCAGAGGTCTGTGTTTCATAATGAGCATCCTTCTTGGGAGCACAGATAAGAGTTGTTTATGTTGTAGACATCCGGGGTGTGGCTTCAGGCACCAGATGTAATCATCTTATTTGGGTTAACCCTGACCCGTGGTTTCTTAGCCTCGTCATGTTGACATCAGCGCCATGTAATTCCTGATTGTGGGGGATGGCCTGTGCCTCATCAGATGTTTAGCACCATCCTTGGTTTCTACTATCTAGATGCCAGGAGTGCCACCCCAGTTGTGACAACCAAAAAAATATTGTCCAATGTTTTCAGGGGACAAAATTGCCCCTGCTTAAGAACTACTGCTCTGACCTAATAAACATTGAGCATTCACAGGCAAAAGGAAACTATACGTTTAGGAATCAGAATAGAGGTTGCCTTTGGAGGAAGGAGGGGAATGGCTGGGAAAGGAGCACAAGGGGCTTTCTGGGGTGGCAATGCTGTATATATAGATTTTTTTTTCATTCTATTTTTTAAAATTTATTTATTTAAATTGTGATTTGGGTGAAAGTTTACAGAGCAACTTCATCCTCCATACAGCAGTTCATACATTTTGTGTCGTGATATTGATTGCAATCGCCATAATGTAATATCTTCTCACTTCCTGTCTTGGTTATCTTTTCCCTGTGTCCTTCTTTCCTATACATTCCTGCTCTCTGAGCTTTCTTCCTGTGCAAATACCGTTCTTCTGATCTCTCATAATTGATTGTTCTCAGGAGTATACCTACCTGATGTAAATGTTCACTTCACGTGGCTGTCTGTTGTTTGACTGGAAGCCAGGGGAGTGAGGTCAGTTTGAGACCTGAAGGGTGACTAGGGGTCATAGTCTCAGGGGTTTCACCAGTCTCTATCAGACCAGTGAACCTGGTCTTTTTTATGTAATGCTGTATATATTGACAAGGGTGTCAGTGCTGTATATATTGATGAGGGTGGTGATTACATGGGAATAGGCAATGATCAAACTCATCTAAATGTACATTTACAATTTGTGACATGATGATACCTCCATTCTAAAAAAAATTATGATTTATAAAAGGTAGTATTTCCCTCATGTAAGGAGGGCTTTGACTGGTGGCTGCACTGTGTCCCTAATGGCTCTGATATTCTGGTACTAAGTGGAGTAATTCTTTCTTGCCTTTATTCTTGGCATCTTCAGGGTAGGACTGAAATGTCCTAAGACTGAGGCTGGAGTCAGTGTGGAGAGAAGCTACTGTTTGTTTTCCCTTCCTGTACAGACCTCAAGCCTGGATTGGAGGCTTGAGGGCTCAGCAGATCTTGTCAGAGTCTGACTCAAAATCACAGTGCTGGCCCCACACATGCTCCTTGGGGTCTCATCACAACACTAAGTGCTCTGCATGTGTCAGCGTCATTAATCCTTACAACTCCATGAATTAGATGCTGTTATTATCCTAGTTTTGCAGATGATGAAACTGAGACTCAGAGAGGTTAAGTAACTTCCTAGAATCACACAGCTAAAGTGATAGAGCCAGGATTTAACCAGGCAGCAGGCTCTGGAATTCATGCACTTAACCACCATACTACACGGTAGTGTACACTACATGGTAGACTGGTAAGTGCTGTTCATCCTGCCCAGAGTCTACCTTTTTCTTTTTGCCATCACACATTTTCCCTTACGAATCTGCCTGCCCAGATCTTAATTCATCTTTCTAGGTCCACTTTAAGTAGCAACCCTCCATGTCAGAAGCATTCTGTTTTTGAAGAAGAAATATTGCTAATGTCCATGAGCAATTGATTGCTTGCTAGATAATAGGGACTATGCTAAACCTAAGTAGCTCTGGTGGCATAGTGCCTAAGGCATTTGACTGCTAATCAGAAGGTTAGCAGTTCAAACCCACCAGCCACTCCACAGAAGGAAGACTGGGCAATCTATTTCTATAAAGTTTTACTGCATCGGAAACCCAAAGGGGATCATTATGAGTGGGAACCGACTCAGTGGCAGTGAGTGTTGTTTTTTTTTTTTTTAAATGCTAAACCAAACCAGACTCACTGCCATTGAGTCAATTCCAACTCATAGTGACCTTATAAGACAGAGTAGAACCTCCCCCTAGGGTGTTAG